AGCGAGTAGTGGTTGGACATCACTCGAATGAATCCCCGACTTACATCCAGACCTTTGAACCACGCTCTCGAAGAAACATTTGGAATAATGGAATGTAATCACCGCCCAAGATAATTACTTGTCCAATCGTTTTGCTAACTTAAAAGAGAACTCTGACGTACTAATCGGAAAAATTCATCATGTGAAATTCTTCTATCATAAATCTCGCCTTGTTGTGCGCCAACCTTTGTGAGAGAGTGTGCCTTCTCATTGCCTGGGATTGAGCAATGTAAGGGGACCCATACAAATGTAATCGTATATGATCTTTCGACCAGCAAACTCAGCTGCTCCCTTACCTTTGAAAGGAAATAAGATGAGTGCCTACCTTGTTTCATCGACCGAATAGCCTCAATCGAACTGAGACTAACCGAGAAGATGAAGTAATGGTCTATGGGCATATCGGAAATCATCCCCAATGCGAAGTTGATTGCTGCTAGCTCAGCAACATAAACGGAACAAGGTTCCTGAAGTTTCCGAAAGGCGGTTGAGTATTCATTTAAGACGCCGAATCCAGTGGATCCACCAATGCGTGATCCATCAGGGAAAAATCTTCTATTGCAATTGACTTGTTGGTACTTTTCAGCAAAAATGCGGGGAATTGAAATAGGTCGAAGTTGATCTGGAACTCCTTGAATAGCCTGTTTCATGGAGAGATCATAGTCAATGGGGGAACTGTAGTTAGTAAAGCATACACGAGAGGGGTTATAGCAAGGGAGGCTAATATCCGATGACATATAATTAAGATAGATTCGCACAAATCTAGACTGGATGCTCAATTCGAGCATTTCTTCGAAGTTTTCAATCACAAGGTTGTTACTGACACTACATTTAATCAATATTCTTAATGAGAGCTCCCAGAAGCGGTTCTGCAGGGGTTTTACGCCCGCTAGGACCTCTAGGCTCATATTGTGTGTTGAATACCTTCCAATTTGATTAGGTGGGTTTTTCTTGCCGAGAGGAAGCAAAAAGAGCCATACTCAAGAACTGAAAGAATAGTCGTTTTATATAGTTTAATGAGGTCTTCCGGGTGAGCACCCCACCATGTCCCGGAAATTGATCATAGAAAGTTGATCCTTTGTTGACACTTTTGTTTCAAATACGTAATGTGGGTACCCCAAGTGCATTTTGAATCAAAACCAGACTCCAAGGTATTTGAAGGTTAAAGATTGGGTAATGTCTCTGCCCAAAAGATTTAGACGCAGTTGGGCTGGAAACCACTTCCTTGTAAACACTACCAATTCAGTTTTTTGCGGTGAAAACTCGATCCCTAAATTTCTTGCCCAGAGAGACAGATTATTTAGGGAATTTTGCAATGGTCTTTGCAAGATTTCTGCACGTGGACCTCTCATGGTGCTTTGCGATGCGTGCATAGATTATCTAAGCACTTATCAATATCTTTGACATATAAATTATAAAGTAAGGGACTTAAACATTAACCTTGGGGTAAGCCCATGTAGCTAATTCTAGAAGTTGTCAGTTGACCTAGATTGAAGGTCATTTGTCTTTCTGACAGCAAATTATACAAGAAATTATTCAAAATACCGGGTAATCCACTACTGTGCAAATTGTCTGACAGTATGTCTATGGAAACCGAATCAAATGCGCCCTTAATATCCAAAAAGACTGAAACCAATTGCTCCTTGTGCGCAAAGGCCAGTTGAATATCAGATGAAAGCATCGCTAGACAATCGTTTGTTCCTTTACTCTTTCGGAAACCAAATTGCGTATTTGAGAGTAGATTGTTTGATTCAATCCAATGGTCAAGTAATAATCGGATCATTTTTTCTTATAATTTCCTCAGGCATGATAACATAGAGATCGGACGGTAAGAATTGTGATCAGACGCTGGTTTCCCAGGCTTTTGAATAGCTATTACTTTAACCGGTCGCCATGCTGGTGAAACTATATTGAATTCCATAAATGTATTATATAGGTTAAGTAATCGTCTTTTAGCGATATCAGGGAGGTTTTTTAGAAGGTCGAATTTGATCATATCGCTTCCCGGAGCAGAGTTCTTCGATGAAAGAAGTGCCATTGAAAATTCCAGAATTGTGAATGGATCATCCAGAGAACCGTTACTTCGGGCTGTATCCCGTAAAGTTAGTTGTGCTGGAACAGAATCTGGACAAACCTTTTTAGCGAAGTCGAAAATCCATTGGGAGGAGTATTCTTCACTCTCATTGGAAGATGAGCGGTTTCGCGTATAGCGAGCCTTTTTCCAAAGCGTTGTCATCGAGGTTTCTCTAGAAAGTCCCTCGATAAAAGTACGCCAGTAATTTCGTTTCTCTGCTTTTAGTAAGTTTTTAAGCTTTTTTTCAAGCTTTAGATACTTTTCAAAAAGCTCAGATCTTTCATGTCTACGATAATCTTTAAAGGCATCGGATTTCTCAAGATACAACTTTGTGCATTCGTCATCCCATCCAGGGGTGGCGGGTCTTCTTTTGAGGGATGCACTTGGAACACGTCGTTTCTGAGCTTCTAATGCGCTTTTGTAGATTAGTTCGGTAAAGAAACGATACTCTTCCAGTGGTGGTAGAGGATCGGTGGAATCAATACCAAGAGTTACCGTCGATACAAATTTTTGCCAATCAATGTTCCTCGTGAGGTCAAAAGGAACTTGAATTGACTGATCTGTTTTTAGACGACCACTTTTGATTGAAATAATAATTGGGATGGGGATCATTGATAACCTTCCACAGACAATCTAATGATAGTGAGTTAGAGCACAAAGATATGTCAAGACGGCTCTCTCGAGCAGGAGGGTTTGCTATGCGTGTTGCTTCACCAGTGTTCAAGATAGTTAAGTTGAAATCGTCGCACAAATCATAGAAAATACCCGCTCTATTGTCATCGTATGATTCGCCCCAACCAGTACCGTGTGAGTTCATATCGCCCAGTATTAGAACTGGAGATTGAAGGATATTAACTGAACTCCAAAGCTGACGGCGGTTTATGGAAGTCCTTGGAGGGACATATACAGAAGCTATGCAAAGATCTTTGTTCTTTACATTTATTTGGCAAGCGACAATCTCAATGCCTGAAATTATTGGGATTGAGATTTTATAGAAGGAGTACCATTTTTTGATCCCCAAAAGTACGCCACCATATGAATCATCTCGGTCCAGGCGGATAATGTTAAAATCGTAGAAGATTAGTTCATCTTCAGAAGAAAGCCAAGTTTCACAGAGTGCAAATCACAATCAGAATTGTGAATCAAATACTTAAACGAGTCTAATTTAGGTATTAAACTACGACAGTTCCATTGTAATAAAGTGATCATATCTTGATCCTCACTCGACGAATTATCCATCGAAAGATATGAATTCATGATACAGTCAATTGTTTGAAGTAGTTTCCGACTATAGGAACAAGCAGGTCAATAAGCCCTCGAAGTGGCGATTCGTCGGGAAAGAGTTTTCTTTGAATTGCGAGTAGACGTGGTGTTTATTTTTGGTAACCTTGAAATAAAATCATAGTTTGAGACAACTTAATTTGACAAATCACATGGTTTTGGTTAAGTTGTTGTCGTTCTTGGTAAACGGTAGTTTAAATTAAGAAAGCGTTATCACAAGGTTTTTGTCAATTTTTTTTTTGTCACGATTTTCCACTGTGCCTTACACATCATTCACAAATCTTAGTTCAAAATCTGTTGATTAGAACCCTAGAAACAATTTTTGTTTTATCATAGTCTTGAAAATCGTGATTTGGGCTTGAAGAATACTTTAAAACCTTGATAAAACTTGCAATGTTAGTTGGGAAAACAATTCAAATTCGATAGCTTAGCATAGCATAGCATAGCATATGCGATTGTACAAATCGTGGGTGGCTATATAATGGTCAACTAATACGTTTTGCAGAAAATATCGAGTGTTGACGCAGAAAATATCACTTGGGATTAGTGATTTTCCCCACACGAAAATAAAATCTACAATAGAAGCATCGCATTATACACCTGGCCACATCCTTACAATCGCAGGGGAAGGGAGGGAAAGTTAATCCAACATCTACTTAAGAAGGTGCAGGGAACCCATACTACCTTCATAGGTGTCACAGGAAGGAAAGAGTTGTGTTAGTGGGAGGGTGAATGATTTGGCAACTCTATTCGTCAATATAGAGCATTTGATAAATCAGTGACAAAAAATAAAATATAAATAGATAAAATGGAAAGATCTCACCCGATTGGCCTAGAGACTTTGCAGCGTCATGTTTTCAGAAATGCTTTATTTAATTTTCCTTGAACCACCGCAATCACTGATAACGCTCTTCTAGCTCGTACGTACAAAAGAACGCACTCCACGCATAATCAAGGTCATGTATTTTCGGACTGTCTTCTTTAACACCACACAAAGAAGTTGCTCATCGCAGCAACAGAAAAATATATCAGCGTGATAGAGGTTGTACGGGGCAACAAAGAAAAACGCAAGACCACACCAAGCACCATTGCATAAGCAACAAGAGATCAAAAAAAAAAAAAAAAAAAAAAAAAAAAAAAAAAAAAAAAAAAAAAAAAAATCACGCACGGTATTCAAAACTTTTAAATGCGATCACCAGTTCACCTCCAGTCACTCGAGAACAAAACGCATGCGAAAAGGTTTTCAGCAGCAAAAAAAGCACAGAAGAAACAGAACACATCCGTTTCGGTCGCTGGTTCAATCAGCACTCTTCAATTCAAATTCGATAGCTCCCCAAATATTCACAAGTTTTCAAAATTTTCATTAATTGTTCCCAGTATTTCCTAATATTTACAATTTCACTGTTATTTCTTATTCATAAAGATATTTCCTGATTCTCATTATTTTGTTAATGCATGAAGAAATCCAAATTTCAACAGACACCCACCATTTCTCAATGGAATAATTGGTCAGCCACGAATTCTTCATACTCAGCTCAGCACCAAATAGAATAAGCCTATCACATTTCACATGATCATAACAACTATTTCCTCTCGCATTCCTTTTCAGCATCCGCACGAAACATTTGTTTTTCCGGAGAAGTCCAACAACCAAACCGAAAATTAAACACGCGTGGAAATTCCCGGCACTAATCGTTGAATCTTGTGGAAAAAAACCTACACCTCTCCATCATATCTCGCATCTTAAATAGCTTCAACAATCCGAAAGCAACCGCAATCGCGAGAGCCAGCTGATTATTCCATAACAACTGTCGATGAAAAAAATATAGATATGCTTCCCGCATCGGCGCTCGTCTAGTGACTGTTACTATACGTATATTACGGTTTGAAAAAAAAAAGACGATATGTGTGTAGTAACAACAACAACAATAACAACAGCGACGTGAAAGAGGAAAAATAAATCACACTCTTTCTGGGTTGCAATCGACATTGATGTGCGTCTGAATTGGAAATTCAGACAAAAATACCAACCCAACGAAAATAGGAAAGGAAAAGTGAAAGATTACTTACGGTCGGCTGGGTTGGCCGAGCGAGCTCCGGTTCTCCGAACTGCTCCAACCTATTGCTGGGCAGCACAAGAAGCGGAAAGCTGGTGGTGTTGTTCGGGATGGCCCCAGCAGCAACAGTGTGTGAAGATATACGCAATTTACGCTCCAAGTGATGAGAAAGTGTTGATTTATAATAATTTTCAGCGTTTACAGAGCTTCGCGGTAGACGAAGAAGAGGAGCTGCGGTGAGCGGGCAAATCAACTGGTCGCGGTTGCCAAATAAAAAGTAGTAGAAACCTCCAAAACGTCCCCCCTAAATGCGCTGCGGGTGCGATTGTGTGTGAGAGAGGAAAATAGTAGCCTTAATTAAGATTTATTGCTCCAAAAAGTTTAACTGCTGCGTGGAAGAGTTGAAGAAAAAAGGTCGCTCACTTCAAGTGGGGGTGGTTGAGCTGAAACGAAGAAGAGTGCTTGAGTCGATCGTTGGAAAAGGGCCAGCGGAATATAAAACAGCCACAAAGTGTCGCTCAAAGGGGGAGCCAAGATGCCGCCGGTCAATCTACCGGAGAACGGAGGTTCCGGCCCACCGAGCCGGACGCCGTCTATTATGGACAGTCCAACGTTGGCGCGAGTCGAGAGAGCCCGGCTTCGGCATGAGGCCGGTGCCAACGGAAGCAGTCAGCGGGAGGACAGCTTGGAGCGGGCGTTGCTGGATCCAAAGGTAGGTGGGGGTGCTTTTCTTTTAAGTCGTTTCGAGAGTTGGAGTTTGAATTCGGTGCCGCTGAAATTGTGTGGGGCTTTACTAGCTAGCTCGTAATAACATTTTGAAAAATTGCACCAGGCAACCACATTCCGACACTGACTGTGAGAAATTCAAGTTTTTTTTACGTAGGATTAGGTCTTTCGGCAACATGTTGGGGGTGCAATTAAAAAAAAACCAAAATCGACCGCGTTACGAAAAGTCGTTAGGTTTTGACCACTTATAACTCTGTCAATAGCGGATGGATTTTAATTCTAAACAAACCAAATGATTAGAAATTTTCCTAAGAATATGCAAAAATTACTACTTTATCAATTTTCAAAAGGTCACTTACAATGGTGAACAAAATTATCACCGATTGCCTGCAAAAAGCGCTTTCCCTAATACAGATTTCTAAATCGAATTCCATCCGGTCTCGCCGAATGGTGCTTATTCAATCACCGTGTGTGGTGGTGTCCAGTTGGGCGTCATCATCAGCAGCAGCAGCAGCAGTGCTTTCGGCGCGTGGCGTTGAACATTGTTATCCCAGAGATGGTAGTGAGTCACTTTTTAGTGACTTGGTAACTTTTTTCAAACCAGTCACTAAAAAGTCTATTTTTTAAAGGCCAAGTCACTAAAGTCACTTGTTTTGTAATCAGTTACTATTTTCAACATTTTTTACGTGAATTTATTTCATGATAGATTATTCTTCTTGCAGTGTGTAGGATCTGATAGTCCAATCGATGCCTACATGTTGTTCTATTTTTTGAACAATTCGAAGGTGTTGTGCTTAAGTAGAGCTTTTTGAAGTTTAATCGTCTTTCTCTATCCACTCATTTGGCTAAATAAAATTCCTTGAGTTTTCCATGTTTTAATAAGAAAGCAATTTTTTATACATGACAATTAGTTTTAAAGAAACAGCTTTACAATAAATTTAATTAAATGTTGAAGTTTAATACTGACTTAATTTTAGTAAGTCTAAGATTGTATTCCATGTACAAGTAAAAGATATTGAAAATTGCAGCAAACTGCGGTAATATAAGAGAAGTTTACATTCTGAAAATATGGGCAACTTTCTGCGAGCTTTAAGAACTTCAAAGCGCTTCTATTAGCTTCTAAAAAAATGCAGGAACTTTAAAGAAGATCCTAAATTTTTAGAGAACTTCAGAAATAAACAGGAATTGAGGAAAAATGTGGAAACTTTAAAGAAGCTCTAGGTACCTCAGAAAAGCTAGAACTAGAGATCGCTGGGGAAATTCAGAGATCCTAAGGACAGTTTCCGTTACTTTAGTTCAGACTTTTGGAGCAGTTTAAAGGTCCATTAGCGTGAGTTTAGAGAAATTCAGGAAGTTCCATGATACGCAGATAATCATCAGATACTTGATGGTCAGTGTTCACTCGGCTGTCGACAGAAGCAGAACACTCTCAATGTGTGCCACGCGATCGTCTGTTTTCTCGGCAGCAACCATTGTGTGGTTCTCCTCATTGTTCTTTATTAACAGTTCTTTCGGTCGATGCATCGTCGACCGAAAGCAATCGTTTCGTGATGAGTTTGTGAGTGATGACCACATTTTACGTCCATTGCTGCAATTAAAGCACTCTGGCCCTCGTTGGCGTAACTGCCATACAATGAAACCACTGAAAGCGGCTTCAGTTCTGATGGAGGAGGCTTTTTGGATAGCGGAAGATAAAGTGTTTAGTGCAGGTACAACACACCTTTTGATTCTAGTTTTAAGAATCCTCGGCTCTGTAAAGTTAATTCGTTTGAGCCTTATCAAAAAAAATAATAAACTACAAGATATTTAATGAAGCTATCAGTGAAGTACAACAAGCTTCATGAGAACTGCAAAAAAAAAAAAATTAGAGAAGTTTTGAGAACTTCAGGATAGAGCAGAGAACCTCACAGAAGTTCCGTCAACATTAAAGAAAATGCATGAATTTTAAAGAAATTGCGAGAACCTCAGCGAATTGTTAAAACTTAAGAGAAGATCCATGGTCCTTAGGAAAATTAAGGAAACTTAGGGAAGTTCGAAAAAGTGCAGGGAAGTTTAGAAATATGATGAGAAGTATTGTGAGCATCAGGCTAGTTTTGAAACTACAAAAAAGTGTTAAAGAAGTTTTATTAACTCCAGGAAAATTTTGGAAGATTTCAAGCAGAAGGCTTGTTACTGACGATTAATGCACTATGGATCAATAAAGTTCAATGTGTGAATTAAAATAAGGTGGAAAATAAAAATGTTTGTAATTTAAAGTGCATTCTTTTCTTTAAAATATCCTTAGTAAGAAAATCATTAAATTACCTGAATAATTATGAGATTTACTGAGATTTCCAGCTATTTTCAGGAAAAATCAAATTCCCTGAAGATTCCCGGTTTTCCAGGTTTTTCCAGGTGGTAGACAACCTTAATAGAGCACAAGCTTTCTATTCAATCTTTTGCTTTGAAGTTTCATATCGTACATAAGTAGGAAATACTAATTGAATAAGTCTAAAACATCAGGCTTTTCTTCTCTTAGGTCATTTTTAGTCACTTGTTTTTTACAACTATAAGTCACTATTTGGTCACTTATGTCTTCAACATGGTCACTAAAATAACTATTTTTGATAACATTGACCGCTACCAGCTCTTTTATCCAGTACACAACGAAAGGCTCCCCGCAAGCAGTAAGCTGTAGCCCACATGAGCGTTCATTCATCGAAGAATGAGGAAGAAGCCGCACCGCTACTGATCGGATTCAGTTGCTCGTCGTGAGCCGCTGTGGGCCATCTATGCCAAGTGCGTCACCCTCGTTCCAAACAACATACAGCTCACCAGCCTCATCCGTGTTGAACACTCTAGATCAGCATTACTCAACCATCACGACAAAATGGTTCGTTTCAGGACCACCATAAATTATTGTTGGTTAAGAGTTGATTTTCATTGAACGTTCGCTCGCCGTGTTGCCCCCCAAAGCTCTTTGATAATGTCAGGGCTGGTAGCGAGTCACTTTTTAGTGACTTGGTCACTTTTTTTAAGTCAGTCACTAAAAAGTCTCTTTTTTAAGGCCAAGTCACTAAAGTCACTTTTTCTTGTAGTAAGTCACTATTTTCAACTTTTTATCGTGAATTTCTTTTAAGATTGATTATTCTTGCGTTGTGACGCTTAATCGTCTTTGTCTATATACAGGATGTCTACTCATTTTTCTGTATAAAATTACCTGAGTTTTCCAAGTAAGTAAGTCCAAGATCTAAAAATAAAGTTTCGTATTCCATGTACATGTTCAAGATATTGAAAATATTCAAAGTGCCAGAATTAGGTAAAAAAATAAATGATTTATTTCAAGTTCGTAATTAACTTTATAAGATTAGAGATCTTCAATACAGTTCCATTAACTTTACAACAACTGTAGGAACTTTGGAGAAGTTCTGAGGAATGAAAGGAAATGTTTAGAATTTCAGTGAAGCTCTTTAAACAAACTGCAGGAACTTCAAAGCGGTTCTTTTAGCATCCGAGACTTTCCAGGAACTTTTATGAAGTTCCTAAAATTTCAGAGAACTTCACAGGTATCAAGCGAACTTGAGAAGTTTAGAAAACTTGAGGGGTATTGTGCAAATTTTTAAGAAGTTCTAAGCACCTCAGAAAAGCTAGATAGATTAAAAATCTATAGTCGTAAATTTAGATAAATTCAAGATAGTTCCATGATGTGCTGAAAAACAAATCGAGAACCCTTAAGATGTTCCGCGAATTTTAGGGAAGTACAGAGACCTTCAGAGAATTTATGAAAACTTCAGAAATTTAACAGAAGTCCAGAGAATTTTAGGGAAATTTAAGGTGGCTACGGGAATTCTATTTATTTCCGAGCAGAACCGAGATCTTCAATAGAATTAAGAGCTCTATTGAAGCTTCGAGAACATCAAGGCAGGGCAGAGAATCAAAGGGCAGTTTAAATAATTTCAAGGAATTATTAGAAACCTTAAAGAAGTTTCGTGAAACTCAGTGAATTTCCGAAAACATCAGCAAAGCTCCGAGAGAATTCCTGGAAATTTTATGAACATCCGGAAAACGTGAGAGTATTTTATAGGTGTTAACTCACGGAGATTTAAATAAATTAAAAAAAAATACGAAAATTTAGCTAAGTTGATTAGAGTACATCAACGAAGTTCCATTAATAAAAATGCGAGAACTTTTAGCAAACAGCGATATCTTCAAGAAATTCCAGAGAACTAAATTTAGATATTTTTAGATAGTTCAACGATATTCAACGAAGTTCCGAGTACTTCGAGGACGATCAGATAGCTTCAGAATAATCCCATTAACTAGCAAATTTTTAGCGACTTACAAGGAGTTCCGTGGAATTGGAGGGTATTCCAAAAATTCTATGATTGATCCTAAAACGTCAGAAGCGTCAGAGAATTATGAATGTATATCAGAAAATTTGCTGGATTATTAAACAAATTTAGGGAACTTCAGGTAAGCATAAATAAGTTCAGGGAAAAACGAGTGTTAAAAATGGTTATAATACTTAAGGAACATTTTCGAAACTTCATGGCAAATCGATTGATTTTAGTAAAGTTGTGGGCTTAAAAAAATACTGATAAATTCAGGGCAGTCTAGAAAACTTTAAAGTAATTCAGTAATCGTTTAGGCACCAGGAAAGTCTAGACTATTGATGAAGTTTTATATTAGTGTCGATAATTTAAGGGAAGTTTTATGAACTTCAGAAGAATCTTGAGAACTTCAGTGAATATCATAAAACTATGTTATTTATTTTGTTCTAATTCCATGAAAATTGCGGAAGTACAAAAGTTCAATAAATTTAGAAAAACGTCGGACACTTCACAGAAGGACAGTCGTCTTCAGAAACTAAAAAAAAATTGTTCATTTTTTAAATCTATTTATTTTTTTAAATTTATTTCTTACTGAAGATTAATGCGCTGTGAATCTTTAAAGTGAATGAAAATAACTAGATATATTGAATGGTTGTATTTTAAAATTATTTTTTTT